AGCAAATAAATAAATGTTTTGAGGGTAATTGGAATCTGTGCTGTATTGATTAGAAATGGATGTAGCCGTATAAACTCAAGGGTTTTAATATATCTATTTTTTATCCATCTATTGAGAGAAATGGAAAGAGATAGAACTATATGTGCGTATCTATATCTACCTGTATTTATGGCCACCTCCACTATCTTGTAGTGACAGTGTAGCAGGATTCTCGTACAGAAAATCGTGACACCGAGGCTTTTCTTTCCAGGAAGCAACTTTATTCCTGCCGGCACCTCTCAGTTGGGTTCCTACCCGAAGAACTGAGCCCCGAATGTCACCTGGCGTAGTTTTTTAAATATATTTTTTACTTCTTTGTCTCCCATAGATGGTAACACACAAACATGAAGTCTGGTTAAGTGGTCTCATGGCACAAGGTCGCGAGGGATGTCGTCAGTACCGGAATAGCAAGGTTGCCTTGAGGTTTTTTTCTTTTATTCCCTTTCCTTAGGGAGGGGACCCTACCACAACAGGGCACAAAGAAGTGCTTGAGAAATGGTGGGGACAATCAAAAGGACAGAGGAGTCCACTTGGAGCGACTCCCACTGCCCAACAGTAGGACAATTTTAGCACTAAAAAAGAATAATAGGGGGTGCCTGAGTGGCTCAGTGGGTTAAGCTGGTTAAGCGTTGGACTTCCACCCGCGTCACGATCTCACAGTTCCCTGCCGTCGGGCTCTCTGCTGTCAGCGCAGAGCACACTTCGGATCCTCTATCCCTCTCTCTCTGTGCTCCTCCCCATCTTGCTCTCTATCAAAAATAAATAAACTTAAAAAAAGTAATAACAGGGGTGCCTGGGTGGCTCAGTCGGTTAAGCGTCCGACTTCGGCTCAGGTCATGATCTCCCAGCTTGTGGGTTCGAGCCCTGCATCGGGCTCTGTGCTGACAGCTCGGAGCCTGGAGCCTGTTTCAGATTCTGTGTCTCCCTCTCTCCCTTCCCCTCCCCTGCTCACGCTGTCTCTCTCTCTCTCTCTCTCTCAGAAATAAATAAAACATTAAAAAAAAGTTTAAAAAAAATAATAACGGTTACAGTGTGTAATCGACAGAATAAAATGAGAATCTGGAGACCATTCTGATATAAATGAATGAATAAAGAAATAAATGGAGAGGAAGGAAAAGTTGTTTCTCAGACTAGATTGCAGGCTACTATATGCAGAAGGAATGATGGAGTTAAGAAGTCACCATTTGGCAGCATCACGGTAATAAAAGATTTGGGCACAATCCACAACTGATGCTAGTAGTTTAATGAAGAACTTGGTATTTACATAGTCTCAAAGTATCTCCTTGCAAGGTTCTTCTTCACTGGAAAGGAAGAATAGTAACTTTACAGTGGAGAAACTTGGCATACACACCCTACCCAAGTGATCACAGTTAACCTGGCCGTTGATGGTTAGAATACTCATTATGTATCTGCTCCTTGATGAATGAGAAGGACACAGCATTTCTCTTTTGTCAAAAAGCCATAAACAAAAAACCATTCAGGAAGCCATAAACCAGGGCACCTGGGTGGCTCAGTCGGTTAAGCGTCTGACTTCGGCTCCGGTCATGATCTCACGGTTCGTGGGTTCGGGCCCCGCGTCGGACTCTGTGCTGACTGACAGCTAGCTCAGAGTCTGGAGCCTGCTTCTGATTCTCTGTCTCCCTCTCTCTCTGACTCTCCCCTGCTCACGCTGTGTCTCTCTCAGGAATAAATAAAATGTCTAAAAAATTTAAAAAAAAGAAGCCATAAACCTACTCATGAGGAAACATTGGTCAAATCTAAATTGAGTAACATTCTACCAAGTCTCTGGCCTAGTTTCTTTAATGATATCAAGGTCAGGAAAGACAAAGAAAGATGGTAGAAATGTTCCCGATTAAAGACAAGAAAGAGATGGGACAACTAATGTGTGATGTTGGGTGAGATTCTGGACCAGATTTTTAAAAATTGTTTTTTTTTTTGTTTTGCTAAAAGGGACATTTTTGGGATAATTGACACAGTATGAGTAAGTATTTTAGCTTAGAAAATAGCATTTTACTAATACTAATGTCCTGATTTTGATTATTGTACTTGAGTTATGTAAGAGAATGTTATTAGGAAATATATACCAAGGTATTCAAGAGTAAAGGGACATGCTGTTGGCTATTTACTCTAAAATGGGAGAAACTGGATATATAGAGGGAATAATACAAAACATATGGTAAAAATGGAAAACAGTTGGGGGAATCTGGGCGAAGGATAACCAGGAGTTCTTTGTACTGTTCTTGCAATCGTTCTTTTGGGTCGATATTGTTTCAGTTGAAAAAGTAACAAAAAAGAAATATTTAAAAATATTTGTAAGAACATGTAGGAGAATAATTTGGTTCTATAGGATGTTTTGAATTCACACAAAGTACAAACCATAATGGGAAAGAATGAGCTATTTGAGTCAAATAAAATGACACATTCGTGTGGAATAAAAAACCCTCGTAAATTATGAGATGACATTTGCTCTGCCTATGATTATATGTACCTTAAACATTACAAATGACCAAAGAGGGAAATTAACAAAGGATGTAAATAGAGAACAGGCATGTGAAAAGATGACCAACTGCACAGGAATTAATTAGGGAGAACTACAATAACAATGGTATACCATTGAATATATAGTCAGATAGGCGTTTAAAATTATGCAATTGGATAATACCCATTTTCGAAAGAATGAAGGGGAAAAGGAACTTTCTTAACTGGCTCAACAATTCTGGAGACTATTTAGCCAGATCTAGTGAAGCTGGAGGTGGTAACAATTCCACCTTTAGCCTAGCATAGCCTAGATAATCTCCGAAGAACAGGAGAGGGCTATTCATTGCAGCATTGTTGATAACTGGTAAAAAACTGAAAGTAACTTAATAGTTATTAACAGATGACATCAACAGATGACAACAGATGGATCAATAATTTGTGGTATAATCATACGATGCACTTAAAATGAATAAAATAGATCTACATGTGTTAACATGTACAAATCTCAAAACCAGAATTTTAGGTGGAAAAAGCAGGTAGCAGAAATTTATGGTATAAGATTTATAAACAGAAAACAATAGTGTATGTTGTAAAGAAAACAATGATGCATGTCATGAAAAATAGGGGGACCCTCAGTAAAGTGGAATTGGGAGGCCGAAAGAGGGGGCTGGTACCCCTGGATGTCAATTACAGGCAGAATTGTCAATTACAGACTTTTAACAGAGGAAAGTCAACAGAAAGAATAGTCAATTACAGGCTCCAACAGGGAAAAGATATACACTCTAGCTCTTGTAAGAAATCAACTTCCCCTGCAGCTCAGTCAAGGAGAAACTCTAACGCACCCCCCCCAACTCTTCCTTCTCTGCAATGAACTTTTTGTTCAAAAGAACCCCTCCCAATTTCCTCCTTCTTCCCCCTACAGTAACATTCCAATTCTTTGTTTTTTTGGACTTCCTTATGGTTGCGCCATAGCTAGAATGTCCCAAATTGCAATTCTCTGCCTTTCCCGAATAAGCCCATTCTTGTTGGTAAAATAGCTTTTATTTTAAAGGTTAACATTGTCTATGAATAAAAAAGGATATAGAGTTCCTGCCCTGGAGTAATTTGGCATTTGAAGAGAGTCAAGTTGAGTATGATTACAATACAGTACCACAGAAGCCACAATGAGACTGCGACCCTATCGAGTCGGGGGAGTGGAGAAGGTGGAGGAGTATTTCCCAGCAACGGCAAAGCCTTCCCATGCCTCTTTCCCACACGGAACCACGTCCTGGAAAATAAGAAGGGGTTACCCAGGTGAAAGAGAGGAAGGAAGGGTGTTTCTCGCAGATAATGACATTTACAAAATCCACGGGGGAGAAACCGCAGAGCCTGGTTCGGAAACTGCCAGTGGTTTCTCGGAGCTAGAGCAGAGGAGGGGGGGCGAAGAAAGGGATGCGGGATATGGGGAGGGATCCCCAGACATGGGCTCCGATGGGCCTAAGGAGTTTCACTGCCTTCTGAAGGCTGCAGGAAGGCTAGAAGAACACTGAAGCAGAAAAGTAACAGGTGCATCACCAATTATGAGAGGCCAGATCAGTTAGTTGGTGTGGTGGGGTTTTTTTTGTTTTTGTTTTTTTTTTTTTTGGTGGTTGTTTTCAAGAAAACCGAGCAGGAAATAACGGAGCCTCAACTGAGCCAGAGGAGGTGGTGACTGAGAGATAACAATGTGTCCAAGCGGTAGGACTTAGGGAGGGATTGGCTGTATCTAAGGGGAGAGGATTCCAAGAAGCTCTGGGCCTGGGCAGTTTTGGGTGCATGACGGAAAGACAGGGACTGCATTTTTGCCACCTACCCCTGTCCCTGGCCACCCTGATTAGACCAGGAACGAGCCCCTTACAGATAAAGCTCAAGTATAAAAACGAGGGAAGGACAGGAGGGAAGGACTGGGGATGGTGGTTACCACGGAATGGGTTTTCACGGGGTGAGGGTGGGGTGTGTGGCTTTGGATTCTTCTGGAACGTTTTAACCACAAAATAAAAGCTGATGTAAATGTAACATGAAGTGGTGTCGCATTTCTGTGAGCACACGGATGTCACATTGTGTGTGTGCTGCACTCTTCTGTGTTTGAACTAAACTGAATAAGCAAATGGCAAAAAAATGTGGTCAGAGTCGGAGGAGCTTACGCTCTAGAAAGGGGTTAAACGAGAAAGCGGCGGGTGGGGGCGGGGAGCGGTGTGGGTCTGTCTTTGTGTGCACAGCACGTGTGGAGAGGAAAGCCTCCGGGGACCTGCTCTCGGCTGGGTGGGTGAGGGTGGGCGGGGGAGGAGAAGTGCGCGAGGAGCTTCCTGCCTGGCCCCGCCCCTCCCCCGCCCCCACGCCGGACCCGCCCCTAATGTCCCGCCCCCTGCAGCTCCTCCGCCTTCTGTGACGCCGCCTCCCGTTTCTAGGCAACGTATAGGGTTTGAACAACGCAGCCGCTACTTGCGGGCCAGTCTCTTCTCGGCCCCTTAGCCCTTGGGCGCTGAGAGCCATGGCCCTGCCGCTACTGCCTGGCAACAACTTCAACCGCAACGTGAGTAGTGAGGGCGCCCGAGGTCAGAAGTCCTGGCCAGCATCTGGGGTCCAGATGTGTGGCCACCTCCCCGGACTCTACTCAGCCATTTCTATGCTGTTCAACCTGTGGATTGGGCACAACTCCGACCAGACTTTGTAGGCTGGTGAAACCCTTACTCTCTGCGTCCCCCTCCCCCTGTCTCTCCATCTGCATCTGGATGCATTAACTACTTTAGGTACCCAAGGAGAGTATCTCGGAGGCAGGATCTGCCAGGGTAGCCAGTGGTCGTGACGGTGATAATCATCCTTGAGCGTTTAAGGTGTTGCAGGTGTCGTGCTTTGTCGCCCTACACGGCATTTGATGCGTAGCTACTGTTTTTATTCCCATTTTACAGTTGAAGAAACCGAGGCACAGAGCGATGAGCCACTCACTGGCCAGGTCTATACACAGTGTCAGTGTGAAACTGGGTTTCTTCCAGGCAGCCTGGCTCCACAGCCTAGGTGCCTAGTCGCTGACTTTAATATACTGTGTGTGAAAGAAATGCAAACAAGTAGGAAACGGTTCACTCCACCGGCTTCTAAAGTTTGATCCTACACTTAACAGAGAGAAGCATCCAAACTAGGAGGAGTTTTTTTCTTTGTTTAGATTTCGGAGGCGTTCGTTTCAAAGCGAGATAAACGTCAAACGACACCGCACCACGACACAAAACACGCTGAGCACCTTTAAGCATTTTACCCGTAATAATAGCACCTGATTTAAACAACAGCTGGGGGGGGGGGGAATGATTCGCGCTTTTCTTTACACGGCTCACACAGGTCACTTGGGTTTGCCAGTTGTGTCTCGGGGAGAAAGGAGGTGGTGGGAGGGAAGCGGAGGTAGCCCCTCAAGGTGTTTTCGTAAACCTCTGACAAATTTAGAAAGCAGGCAGCGGGGCCGAACGAAGCATTTGACTTTATGGATTCAGAGGTGTCTGTTTCCACGCTGTTGGCCCTCAAGTCTCCGTTTACTTTGGAGCTGCGGCCGCCGGATTCTGATCTCCACGGGGTCAGGTGGCGAGAGCAGCTTGCTTGTTGAACACGGATTTGTGCATTTTTTTGGCCGATGGATAGGGGCTGGCCTTCTAGCCTAGCACTGCCCCTTGCTGAGATGAAGCCACACGAGCCCGAAAGACCCCCAGAGAGGCAGGGCATGAAAAAGAAAATTCTAGAAGTAAAGAAGCAGGCCGTGTCAGAGCAATTTTGATAAAAATTGTGAGTCGAAGTCACCTGGGTGGCTCAGTCTAAGTGACCAACTTCGGCTCAGGTCACGATCTCCCGGTTTGAGGGTTCGAGCCCCACATCGGGCTCTCAGCTGCCAGCTCAGTGCCTGCTTGGGATTCTCTGTTCCCCTCTCTCTCCCTCTCTGCCCCTCCTCTGCTCATGTGTTCTCTCTCTCCCTCAAAATAAATAAACGTTAAAAAAAAATGTTAAGTAGAGCTCACAGCTTTGGGCCCCGCAACACTTGTAGATTACAGATGTTTTACTTGATCCCCTTGTCCTGCTGCAGAATAGCGGCTCCCACCTGCAGTGATTAAGAGTGGGGAGGAAAAGCAGTGCTTGGATGAGCTATTTTAAAACGCACAAGGCAGTACTGAGTACACGTCACCTTTGTGTGTGTGTGTGAGAAGTACAGTACATATGCAGAAAGATGCATAACGGGATGATCTCAAAACAGACCTCAAGAAACAAAATATCACCAGTATTCCAAAAGTATTCCCTGCCTGCGGTTGCCAGATTTAGCAAATTCAAATATATGTTCCCAATACCGCATGGGACCTCCTTCTACTAAAAAGATTATTGTTTATCTCCAATTCAAATTTAACTGGACATCTTATGTATATGTATTTTTTAGTTGATTTATTTGTTTTGAGAGAAAGAGAGCGTGTGTGAGTAGGGCTGGGGCAGAGAGAGGGAGAGACAACCCCAAGCAGGCTCTACACTGTCAGCATAGAGCCCACTTTGGGGCCCGAACTCCCCAATCGTGAGACCATAACTTGAGCCCAAATTGAGTTGGATGCTTAACCGACTGAGCTACCAAGTGCCCCCAAACAAATTCTGTTTTACATGGCAGCCCTGCCTATCAGCCTTTCCGGTCATTCCCCCTTTCCTCCTGTCCAGAGGTAACTATCTTGGCTGCCCGGGACCATAGTTAGGTTTTGTTTGCTTTTGAACTTCGCATCGATGTAAATGTCTGGTGTTCTTTTGTGACTGAGTGTTTTGAAGCTCCGTATTCTGTTTGGGAGATTTGTGTACGGGGCCAGCTGCGGAGGTAGCTGGCACATTCTCATTGCTCTTTAGTATTCCCTTGTGTGAGTATGACATTTATATACTCATTTTAGGATTGAGAAGGTGTTTGGTGTGTTTGGGGTTATTAAAAAGAGTTTGCTGTAACTGTTCTTGCTTCTGCCATTTTAAATATCCACTGGCATTTTGTGTACCTGTCTCTCTACATTCTAACACTTGATATTGTTGGCTTTTTACATTTTACTCCTTTTGATCAGCGAGGGTAGTGGAACTGTGATATCCTTCCGCACTCAACCCGATTCCTGATGCACTTGAGCATGATTTACACATTGATTGGTCATTTCTCTTTTGTGTCGTGCCTGTTTATGTCTTATCTCATTTTCCACCAAGTTGCCTCTCTCTCTTTTTTTTTTTTTTTTTACTTCTATAGGTTTTAGGTAGGACTCTTTCTGTCGGACATCTGTGTTGCAAACATCTTCTAGTCTGTGTTGGCCTTTTCACTTAGCGGTGTTTTTGAGGAGGAATTTTTCCTTTAGTGATTTTTGTTTCCTTTTGAAGAAATTGCTCCTTCTGCCAAGTTCATGGTACTTTTCTTTCTTTCTTTTTTTTTTAAATGTTTGTTTATCCTTGAGAGACAGAGACAGACAGACCATGAGCAGAGGAGGGGTAGAGAAAGAGGGAGACACAGAATCTGAAGCAAGCTCCAGGCTCTGAGCCATCAGCACAGAGCCTGACATGGGGCTCAAACTCACAAACCAGGAAGGACATCATGACCTGAGCTGAAGTCAGACACTCAACGGACTGAGCCATCCAGCCCCCCCCCCCCCGCCCCGGTATATTTCTGTGGTACCTATTGGACATTTTGTTGTTTTTACCTTTTCACATATACCTATTTATTTATTTTTATGTTTGTTTATTCTTGAGAGAGACACAGCATGAGCAGAGGAGGGCCAGAGAGGGAGAGAGAGAATCCCAAGGAGGCTCCGCACTGTCCGTGCAGAGCCAGACGTGGGCTCGAACTCTCAAAACTGGGAGATCATGACCTGAGCCAAAACTGAGAGTTAGACACTTAACCGACTGAGCCACCCAGGTGCCCCTTACCTTTCACATTTAGATTTCTAATCTAACTAGTATAAATATGTGTGTTTGATTGAGAGAGAGAGAGAGAGAGAGTCTGTGTATGTGTGTGAGAGAGAGAGAAAGAGAAGTAGGGGCCAGGTTGTATTTTTCCCCATAGGGATATTCAGTCCACCCAGAACCATTTGTTAAAGGATACAATTCAACTCTGTTGCAAAGATCTTACTGGCTTCAAGTTCAAGTGACTCATGAATGGCCAGTATCCAATTGAGCAGATAGAAAAGAGCTCTGAACAGCCACCTGAGCAAGACCAAGATGTTTTATAGGCAGATTTATAGGCAGAAGGAGAGCGTTATACTAAGCAAAAATTGAATTGGTTACTATAAAGTTATTTTCCTTTTACGGGTTGGCAAGAGATTTTTAGGCAGATGACCTAACTAGTGCTGATCGGGAGATTCATGATTGGCTGGTTTAAGATTCTATTCCTGGGACAGCCGAAACTATAAGTTAAGTTTCAGTTTGTGACATGGGGCTTAGCACGATCGGCTCCATTTAGGGCCTGCTGCCTTGTCTTTTACCCCGTTTTTGGAAAAGGATGACCCTTTCTCTACTTCTCTGTCCTAAGTGTCCAAATGCATGTGGGTCTGCTTCTAGGTGCCTGAGTGTATTTGAAAAACATTATTTACTTTATGCCTCAGACCAGTAGGAGAGGGGTGTGTGTGTGTGTGTGTGTGTGTGTGTGTTGTGTGTGTGTGTGTGAATTAGGGACTGACACTATACTTATTAGATACCTTGGGCTGTCATTTAACAAATTAGTATTTGTATATTGGGCATCCTTGTCTGTCCAAATCAGGTGGCTGCATTAAAAAAAAAAAAAATGTTAAACTAACCTCGGTACGGACTGTGTTGCCAAAAAACTGATTATTAAAAAAGTTGTGCTTTGTTAAAAGATCCAGACGTTCTCTGGTGCCTGGAATGGTCAAAAAGTGAGTAGAGCCAAATCCGCCCCCCACCCTGTTTTTAATCACTCTCCACCTCCAATTGCAGAGCCTTGCTTGCTGAATTAAATTATCAAGAGAAAAACCTTGGCCTCCTGGAGATAGCATAATTACTGGCTGTTTGGGCTTAAAATTCTAACGCGAGCTAACTTTTCCTGCTTTTCTTAGACATTAAAAAAGAAACTTGTTTCTCCCCTTAATTAGCTGCTGGTAGTCTTTCCTGAGCAGTGGATTGATTTCTGCCTACAGCTGGGTAATGTGCATCCTATACTTCTTCCTCTGAAATATGTGAAGTATTTCTAAAATATAAGCATTTATGCCACTGAGATCTTTGAAATTATTTGGATGTGAACTAATTGAAAACCTTAGGGAAAGGTCACAGCTAAATCCCAGACCCACGGTATAGTTTTCCAACAATGATTTGTCTTGAGCTGAGAGAATCTCCGGCATATTGTCAAAAATAATAGGATGTTAAAGTTAAAAGGGACCTTTCCGGCCAAAGCTGAAAATCTCTACAGCATTTTGGACAGATGTTTGTATAGCTGATCCTCCTTGTCCCTAATGAATAATGAATGAGGAGTACACTTTTTTTTTTTTAATGAAGCTATCTTGCCACCACCTTAAGAGGGTTTGTTGTAAATAGTCCACTTCTAATTTATAG